CCTACACGTGGACATTGTTACAGTTTGGTTGTGCTGTAGGGTACAAAATGCAGCTTTGCTAGTATAGTCCAGAGCAGGAGTATTTGATATTTCTGTAGAGTTCAGAACAGAGATACAAGAATTGCTTCACTACTTGGTTCCGCTTCAATTTCCTGTTATTCAGGATGCAGGTTTGCTTTTCCTCTTTGTCTGTGGGCTGTTCTACAGATAAATAGGAAATAAATGAACGTAATATCAATATTCACATGAGTGAAAACAAATGAAGGGGTGAAAAGGTGAATGGGAGGCTCTTGGTGATGTTTTTTGAGAGCTCTTTTTTTCACATCCACAAAATTAAAAATGAGATTGGAAACAAAGAAAAGAATCTGGTTTTATTTTCAAGCTGTCAGTGGAAATTTTCCTCTGAAATACATGTTACAATTCTGGAAAACATGACTATGTCATAGTATTAGTAAAATGTTGCTTATGTTAAAACTAACTTCATGGTTTCATTCCCTCTTCAGACCAATTATTACAATTGCTCTGCTTGGTACTTTGGATGATGTTCCAGACCTTATTTTTCATTTGAATCACAAATTGGCACTTCATGGGTAGCTTATTACAAACCATTTGGAAAACCTAGCAGTGGGGTAGTAGCAGAGAGTAGAAACACTGTGTTAGTGTATTGATTTAATGCCAGACTTCAAAGTGGATGTTAAAGTGCTGGATGGTCTAATTACTTTGACTTTTTTTTGGTGACTGCTGGAGGAGTGAGGTCTCACTTTCCACATTTATCCTTTGTCCTGGCAGTTCCTGGTGACTCCTCTGCCAGTTGTAAACAGTGTGGTAGGAAAGTCGAACTAACATACTACAAATGAATGTGTGTTTTTGTATTTGCCAATCTTGTCTTCAAGTATTTCAGTTAGTGTCATTTATTTCCCCAAATGAAGTTTCTAGCTGAAGATTTGTTTGAACTGATCATATATTTGTTGCTCACAATATTTGTAGTATGTAAGAATTAGCACTATGAAAAGAATTTCTCTTACACTAAAGGTAGCTGTTCTGTGAAATAGTAACAAACTCATTTTGATGGAGTGCAGTTGAGCATACTAAAATAATATTTTTTAAAATACAAAACAATAATATTTAAGCAAACTGTACAAAAGCATTATCATATTTGCTACAATAAATGTTCAGAACATTTAGTGACAGTGTGAGAGGAGCAGTCTAAATATGAAGTTTATCTGAAATCGTAAAGTACAAATACTCTTACTTGATTCTAAACACCAAACATGACTGCATAGACACCAAGATACTGACTGGCCTGATGTAGATTGATCCTTGCTTTGAAGGACTGAAATAAAAACCAAACATGGAGAGTGCACTGATCTGCAGGAATTGCCAGCACGGTTGGTATGTGACCTCTTTCTTCACTATGGAGAACCAAAACCTGTGCTGCAACAAGATCGCTACTTGCACTGTGGCTTCTCCAGGACCTGCACACTTCCCGAGCTGCAGGACCAGGCTGGGAGTAGGGCTGGGTACACTCTGTTGAGTGTGTAGTGATTTGGATTATTTCAGATCTTAACTGGGCAGAGACAAATGCGATGGAAATCTAGTCTTGGCTCCTATGTTAGAAAAGTACACCTATGTCATTTCAGTGGACCTGTATGCTCAGCGTAGTTACTGTTTAGATTGAAAATAGTGGTCTGTTTTATTTTAGTAAGATTTAGGATCACAGCAGTATTAGGGTCTGATTTTCCAGGTTAAAACTCAGGAAAGTATGAAAGATAAAGTAATTGTAATGCCCTAATTGTATTATAAACAGATATAGATTCAACGTTAATTGCTTTCCTTCAGAAAAAAAAAGTGCACTGTTAAAGGGCATTTTGATTAAACTTAAGATTAGTTTTGTAAATCTATGGTATATCAGGGTACTGAGAGGTTTTTTTCTTACATTTTTTGATGGATACAATTTTGGAATAAAACGCTTCTCCAAGTGTGAACATAAATAAATACATGAACTGTTTCCAGTGCATTCTTACAAGTTCATATACCAAGCTCCCTTTGATTGAGAGCAAATACCAATTCTGCTTCACCTGATCTGACTCAGTCTGGTTTTCACGTGGTTTGAATTGATGCATAAACACTTCACTAGTGACTTCTGAGCTGGGGACAGGAACCCTAAGAGCAGCCAAGCAAGGGGAAAAACATTAGATAGTACGAGGTGGTGTACAGACACACACAATCCCTAGTGTCCAAATCTGTACTAGAATAAGTGAATATTTTAAGCTGTCATGAAATACTCAAATGCTTTCCCTTTGTGATGTACATTAGTGGTGAATTACTGAGAAATTCTTTATTACAAGCTAATACCTCGCAACTATTTGAGTCACATTTTTGCCAAGATGCCTAATAAATTGCTAAAACTATGTACTTGTCTGTGTGCTATTCCAGAGTCTTCATGCACAAGTCTTGATTGTGATCCTTACTGTGAAACTACACAAGGAAAACACAGTAAGACAGCTAGCTTAGCTCTCACTTTGCCAGGTTAGCTACTGCAGCTGTCACTAGTATGACATGCTTCTCTGGAACTTTGGTCATGGCTGCCTTTTATTTTGTCACTATTTTACTTACTTGGGACAAAAGATACTTGTCCTGTGCCAGAAGAATCCTACACTAATTTTCAGTTAGGTTGTGAGGCTCTTCTGACTTTCCTAGCCTAGACCACCAGCAGCTTTGTCCCTTGGAAATCAGAAATTGAGAAATTGTATCCTCTTTTTTTTCTTGGTTTTTTTTTTTTCCTTTGCTCCTCCTGTCTTGGCTTGCAGTGATCCAGGTGGTGTTTCTGATGGTTTGCAGTAGGGGATGGCAACGCAAGAAGTTCTCTTTGAGCAGCTCTAGTGGAAACATAGGAGCAGTTTGTTGGAATGTGTCTCGTAAGAAGAAGTGGGTCAAAGTGTTCTTGGGTATGTGATCCAAGATGAGGGGATGTTTAGGTGTTGCTGAATAAAATAAAGTGGAGAAGCTGTGGAAGGACTTGCAGTGAAAGGAAGGAATTTTTTTGAACATATACATAGTTGGCTAAAATCTGTCCAGAAGTCAGAGAAGAGTGAAGCCTGACTGTACAAGCACTTGTATTCAGAGGAATCACTTTGAAATTGTGCTTCTGTTGTTATGTCCCGTTTGCCTTTTTCTGTATGCTTTTTAAAGGCTTTTCCAATTTTTGGCACTGCTTGAAGATATCTTTCTGGAGCTGTACCAGATGCACTTTCCTGGTTTTGCTCCCTCTTTGGCTATACCTTCAGCATGTCCGAGTCTTCTTCATCTTTCTAGCACAACTGTTCTCTGCTGTCTTTGTGCTACTTTGTGCTTTCCTCACATTCTCATCCATACACATAACTTCGCTTTCCTGGTTTTATCTGCATGAATTGCAAATATATCTGTCCATTCCTGATGATCTCCCTGAAACTTTCTCTAGATGTTTTGCCATAAATATAAGAAGGATTAAAAGGGCCTTTGATCTCAGTCATTTCTCGCTTCTAGGATCATACTGATGGCAACTGAGATTATCGTTCCATGCTCTTGTTCAGCAAGTGGCATTCATAAATTTGTATGAAGGTGTAGCCTAAAAGAACCTGTGGAATTTATTTCATCTGTTTGTGTCCAGTAGTTTTATATTCTTCCTCCTTCTACACAGGGTGTTCCTGTAATGGCAATACGAAACAAAATGATTTCTGAAGGGCTAAATCCAGAACTTCTTGAGTAAGTAATTTGTAACTTTCAGCAGGGCTGGAATTCAAACATGTGTTTAAAAAACTTGGAAAAAAGTATGCTTAGAAAAGCTTGGTTATGGTATTGTGAATCTAAATTTTCAGCATTAAAACAGGTTTTGAAGTCTTCCGTGAAGGGCGTTTTTAGCAGTTAATAGGTCTGAAGAGGGCCATCAGTACCAAAGGAGGAGAGAGATGCAATCTGAAGTATCAGCTGTCTTTTCCGCGTTGACTAGTCCAAGGCAAGGGCCAGGAAGTAGAGACTGGAATATAAATGGGGAGGTACTGCACCCTCCCAAGCAGAAAGTTGCAGGACTTTACCATTCAGATTTGGAAGGCAATGGAAGGATTTCTTCCAAGCCAAGCAGAGGTAGTGCCGTTCGAGGAAAAGGACATAGCAATGACAAGGTAACATTTGACAATGTGCATTTAGCGAGGAGGAATCAAATAATACGTCAGTAGCCATTTTCGCTGTACTGTTTAGAGTATGAGGTTTTTCCCAGCTACTTTCTTCCAACACTTCAATAACAAAATGTCATCAGTGTAGAGTAGTAAGAACAAACTCTTATTTTATTTTGCCGGATGCATGAGGGACAACACAGTTGTCTCCAGATTCCCTCAGTAGATCGAGTGTACAGCTTGACTTCAACATTGACAGTGTGAATTGAAGTCAGCAGTTTGAAATTCTGACTGTTGATTGAGCTAACCTGATGTGAAGACTACTCAGAATAGATACTCGTTTTCAAAGCTACTTGTCTGGCCATAAGCATGAATTTTAGGCTTATTTTACATTTGACACATAGTTTAGTTTTACTGTACTATTTCACAGAATTTGTTAAACTGATGAAAACAGTAACATTCTTTCTTACATTATAGCCACTAAACTGTTTGAAGCACTTTTGCATCCTCTTCAGAAACTGTCAGCGTATTAGAAAGTCCACTTCTCCTTTCCAGTGAAGTCTTTTTACATTTTGGAAAGGCTTATTCTGAAACTAGCAACTTGTTTAATAAAATAAATAAAAATATAGCAAAACCGAAGTATCGTCATATGTAGAGTCACTTTATCTCCCAGCTACTTCCTGGTGTCTAAATAAGCCTAAAGTAGTTATTCCTTGTTTGATGTTTTTACTGGTCAAATGAGAAATGAGAAGAAGAACACAAGTTAGAACCGGTGCAAGTCTGAGACAGGGTTATCAAACATGGTTTTACTATATGTGTGTTAAATGCGTTGTATTTCTTGCTCCGCGTTTCTGGTCCGTACCTTTCTGTAGATGCTGCTATTTCTTCCTGTTTGGATGCATTTTTATGGTAGATAAAAATAAGATAATAGGTTAAAATTTCACAAGCTTTTTAAAGAAAGCACCTGCTTTTGGATTGTCTATTTTGGGTTAAGACAGATATATTATTACTGTGGATTGGGGCTCACAGCATATGTCTGGGGTTTGGTCTCAAAGTCCACCTTCAAAGATTCTGTGCAACAGTAATGCTTAAGCAGATTTTCTTTAAAATGTTACTGGTTTGAAAACTGTATAGCAAATCTACCCGGTTAAAGAAAGCTAATTATTTGGCAAGATGAAAGTTCATAATACAAAATATTTTAAGGAGTGACCTTTCTTTTAATTTTCTTGCTTTCTTGCCTCAGTATCATAAGACTTTTTTTTATATGTATCTTGTCATTCACACCTATGTCTTGGGTCTTCATGTTCCTTAGGCCCGCTCACTCAGTCCCAGTGAAAATTAGGAAAATGTACGCATTGCTGTATGCTCAGTCGCTTACTGCAGACTCGCCCAGCTACTCGCCAGTGACTGAGTCTGGTTTTTCTGTGGCTGCAGAGATGCTAATTCTTATGATACGGAGTTGTTTATACTCTCTTCCTTCGGCAGTTCTACTTCTCTTATCGTTCCTTTCTTAACTTTTTACAGAGTTTGAAAACTGCCTATTCTATCAAGCTCATAATTCATCTGTTTTTAACTGTTGTTTCTTATCCTTCCTCTCTTGCCTGTCTACAGTTCCAGGAGAGTTTGTCCTGCCCTCACGAACTGAAGGAATTCATTGCCATCGTCCTCTCCTTACTAGAGGAGAGTTTTTGCACTGGTCTCTCCAGATCACATGTCTTTGCACGGCCTTTCTGTTTTGTCATTACCACAGCAACAAGGAATAATATTGTGAAGTGGTATCTGCATGAGAAAGCAAACTCTCTCTTAATTTATTTTGGAGGTGTGCAGGGGGGAGGGAGAAGGCTCGCTTACAGTTCTTTAATGCACTTCTCATTTTTGCACCCAAAATGTTTAGAAACACTTTAAAGGTACCTCAGCAGTTTCCAGCAGAAATTATAATAAAGAGAACTAAAGTTGGAAAAGAAATTCTGTGGCATGGCACACAGGGATAGCCCCAAGATAAATAACAATGGGACGAATAATACAATTGTTGGCTTAGTTTAAAATGTAATATTTTATCTAAGAGAGCAGTTAACTATCGTACAGGAAGCTAGTTTCTGTGAAGATCATTCTTCCCATTCCCCAAGTACAGTTGCATTTATGTTTTCTACCTTGATTCAGAATTTACCAGGCTCAGTCTTGCTTGTCATGTCAAACTCATTACATACTTAGAAGGGAGATTCCAGGGCAAGCCAGCATCTTCAGTCAGTAGTGTTAGTTAGCCTTTAGATGGCTTGCTTCTCTCTCCTTCATTCCCAGTAGATTCCCTGAGCAAATGTTTTGACACAATCTTAAGATTCCGTCTTAAATATTCTCTTCAAAACTAAATACAAGAGATCTGATCATTTATAGTCAATAAACATCCCATGGCTGCCTTTGCATGTCAAATTTAACCCAGTGTTCTAGCCAAATTCCACTCTGAGTAATTCTTTTTTGCTTCTCTAAATTATCCCTGCAGTTTTAGTTGGACACATTATTGCTCATTTCCTGTCTTATTTTTTTCGTGTACTATTTACACTGCTTAATGGTGTACAGCATGTTCCTTTCAGCCCTAGTACCTCTGAAGATTGAAAAAAAAATCGATTTGATCACTATTGCCTGTTTTCAACTCTTTGAACGAGTGTTTGCCACTTCTTAGTGGTATGTCATTATTTCTGATAACCTCAAAGGTGTACATTCAAACTGATGTCCACAGAGTTTTGATGACCAGTGAGTTACAGTTTCTAGTGTTTATCTTCTCTCTTAAGTGAAGCAATACCAAGAAGGTGTGAGTTTGTAAAGAGTTAATGTGTTAAACGTTGTGGATATAAAGTGCATGCAGTTGTGGTGAAAGGACATTAGCATTAGATGCTAAGTTGCTTGTGTTCTCGGCCGCCTTCTAGGATTTACAACACAGAATGTTTTGGTTGCCTGCAGGACCCCAGATGCCCCTGTGCCTGCCTGGGGAGATGATGGGAAAGCAGAAGACAGTTCTGATAGCGAATCTTCATTTAGTGACTGAAGAAACTTGATTTCGGCCTTGGGAAACCTCTGTTAAGTGCTAATGTGTGTGGAGCTTTAGCAGACAATGGTTTTGCGTGGGTCGCATGGGTGACGCTGTTTATCTGACAGTATTTTTAAGAACTAAGATCCTCCATGTTCTCTCCCAGAAAGTTTGAACAAGCAGCGTGTCTCAACCTGAACCTTTCCACTGCGAAAATTAGTCGTGAGATCCTTGAAATTTTTGTGCTGCATCGGTTCGGATTCCTTTCTGATTCTTCTGAAATTACTTTGTAATACTCTAAAATTCCACGCCTCTAAACCTCCAGGTCTCTAAGACTTCATTCTGGTCATTGCTGGATTTTCTGTGTAGCACTTTCAACCTAAGTCGCCTTCTTTCTGTCCCATAACCTACAGGTACAGTATCTTTTCAAATTGTAATTGTTTAATTGTAATCTGATGAACTGTATTTTTTGCTAATAGACCGTATTCTGAAGGGACGCAACAAGAATTACACAGAACTCAGCTGTCTTATGGTGATTGCAAATTAGTGGTACTCTGTTTTGAGAGAAACTAAAATACAAGTGAAAAATACATTAAAACCCAATGTGAATCTGATTTCAAAGTATATACTGCTATTTCATTTCACATTAGAGTCTGTACAAAGTTGTTAATTCAATTCCTGTTCTGCAGAAGAGTTGATTTATAAAATTTAGCTTACAGTGGTGAAGAAAGCTACAAGCATTGCAAGACTGGTTTGAAAATGACACTGTAAAAGAAGCAAGTGACTGGGAGATTATTAATGGAATACCAGATTCTCACTACTTGTTCACTGTCACATGGGTCTGTAGAAACCACGTTCTGACTGCTGTTGGGTTTATTCGAAAGGAGCTGTGGCTGAGCAGTTTGCATAGGATAAGAAATCACCCCCAAATTGCCTTGCCCTTGCTTGGAGCCTGTCTGGCCCTGAAGACTTCCCTCCAAAGTACTTAATCTACTGCATGAGTCAAAAACGACATTTCGTTAAAGAATCTTCTTTAATATAATTTATTCCACTGAAATCCTTCGCAATCCATTTGAATTCCCCAGATTATTGTGATTTTACCAGAATGCCGTGGGCCAGACAGTCATTCACTTTCTGGTATTTCACATTCTTTCTGAGACCAAGAAAAGACGAATTCTAAGTATATAAATTTGTTAGCTTTTACGACTGAGTCATTATCTTCTCTCTTAGTTATTTATGCCACTTCAGTTGGTTAGCTGCTTTTTTTCTGTAACTTCAGCATGGCTCCCTTTTGAGTCTAGCAGAGGTATTTAAGCTCTTCATAACCTGTAAATCAGAGTAATATCTGAATCCCTATGAAAGCATATATGCACTAGCAAATGTCTAGAGATGGCATTTCAACAATGAGTTAAATATTATTGAACACTTAAAAATATTCAGTAGTTAACACTTGATAAAACTTGGCAAGTATTAACATTGACAACAAGTATCTTAGAAAGCAGATATTAAAACACTGGTGACTTTTTGCAATCTATATTCTAAAACTCGTTGAAGTAATCTGTATAATTAAAGCTATGTTTTGTAAACCAAAGTTGTGCTCCTATTTTAATCCTTTACCTTGTTTTAAACGTGATGAAAATTCTTCTGGAGTCTCTGTGACACATGTATCTCCAAAACTTGTTACACTGAAGTCGCATCAATCTGCTAGCTGAAAGGGAGCGTTTTGAAAATAAGGGATTGGAGTTTAACCTAAGCCACGTTAGCACTCTGGCTAGAGGAGAACTGAACATCCCATAACCGCTGTTATAGAAAATTTAAGAAGGACCGAAATTAATGAGAACTGTATGTTCGATACTCTTGAACTGATACTAACCTGTGTAAGGAAGTAGCGTGACTTAAGGAGTTGACTTGAGACGTGGTAGTTAATTATTTTTTAAAGAAATAAACAAGGTTACCAAAACACATTGAAGAAGGTGTGACCTCCATTGCTTATCATTTTGAAGAAGCTTTTTGTGTAAAGTAATTTTGGTCTGAAGGAACTAAAATTGATTGTCTTTTATACCACCACAGATGTATTTTTTTGTGAAATGGAGAGGCTCTAGCCTACTGTCACTTGTTATAAGGAGGGATAATTAATTGATGATTGCATATACATGTGTCACAGAACAACAATTTCATTAGTCCGCATGCTGAATTTAATTGTTTAAGACTTGGGTTTTCTTTCAGAGTAGCTGTTTACTTTGGAATAGTGCGATTGTGGTAGGCTTGCAGAAATGTTAAGAAAAACCTTGCCACTTTATCTCCTCTCCCACTGAAGTGGTGGCACGCTGCACAGTAAAGATCCAAGTGTCTGAACTGTGAGGAGACCAGGGAGAAAAAGGTAAAAACTTCCCCGTTCACCTTCAGTGCATCAGCAGCCATAGTGCTCCCACTGCCTTGGGAACCTATGACCGCATTCAGCTCCTCCGCTCCTGCCAGTCTCATCTGCTAAACACATCCGTGTGCTCCTCGCCTGTAGCCAAGTTCAAGCTGGGATGTTTCAGCTTAGGACACATGCTGACACAAGGAGCTATTAAGTATGGGGAGGTTGGTTTGAGACTGAATGATGTCAGCTGTGCTAGTCCTCCGTGAGGTACAGCGGTTTTCTAGTGAGATGGTGCTAACCCAGAAAGTTGGAAAGCCCTTAACCGCAAGCTAAATACTGTAAGCGGAGAATATTCCAACTTGCTCATTATTTGCCATCTGTTTTGGAATAGAAGATGGAGGGAGTATTTCAACTTGGCTGCGTAGTAATCAGATATACCTAGTACTTTCAAGGGAAGAAGTCCATTTTTAAGTGACTTTTCTTTTTAAAAAGCTTCCAACAGCAGCGAACTTTCAAAAGATGCAGTGTACGTGAAGAGGTGTCAGTCATACACATCTAACGTACCCCAGTTTTACATGGATTTAAAATCATCATCCAGGGCAATACTGGAATTTGTAGACATGAGAACGACTTCAGCTTGTTGTTGGAATAGCTGTTCCATCCATCTGTTGATACTCATTATGTCCTAATTATGTACTATAGGTAAATTATGTACTCAATTTTTAAACAAACTTTTTTTTTTTGCCACATCACCATCTTCCTCATTTTGCAGGTGAACCAGAGTGCAGAATGTACAAAGGTCAGTTTCTTAAAGATATTACGGGCATTTTAAATGCACGTAGATGCCTTAAGACTAGATGCATATCTGTATTTATGTAAGTGAAACCTCAAACAACTGTCAAAGGCAAAACCAACATCTGGACGTGGTAATAACTTCATACCGACGTCCTCATTTAGCACTCTTCATCATTAATCTGTTCCCTCTCAACTCTCCTGTTCAGCTACATTTGAAAAGAAAATTGATGGTTCTTTTTCCAAGCTGGGTCTCTTCCTCTCTCTTGTTTCTCTTTCCAGTGCGTGTTATTTACACCAGTGATTAAGCGTCTAGTTTGACATTCTGTGAAAAAAAGCCGTGAGAAGCTATAGCCTGTACTTGGAAAAAGAGTATCACTAAGATCAGCACTTTGAGTTGCATGATCTGGTCAATTTTGCTTTCCACAATGTTGCGTAGTGAGAAACTGAAGTTCATGATAGTCTGAAGCTTTCTGGGAATCCGGTTTTACCTCTGAAAATCTGAGAACAAGGTTCCAGCGTTGCAATGGATTTTTCTGCAAAATGGAACATGTGTTTTCCCCCTCTGCAGAAAATTTGGCAGCCTGTTGTCTAGACAACTGCAGGTCAAATGCCTGTGCTGGTGCCCAAGGCGCCATTCTCCTGATAATTCAGAAGGTAGTGTCTCCATTCCGGCCACTTTACAGGCAAGAGTGGAGCTGCCGCTTCGGCTCAGGCCCGTGACTCACGTAGTCTTGCAGTTCTGTCCCTGGTAAAAATCAGTACTTTAACGGGAGGCGTGAGGAGTACCGCAGTGCTCCGGCCGTCCCTGTTCCTGCCACCAAGACTTTACTGTGAGCAGAGATTGAGGTTCAGTGCTAAATTACAAGTTTGTTAGCGCTTCTGCAAATGTCTGCATCGCTTTGGGAAGCTCTGGATATTCCTGCCGTCTGTTTGACAGTCTAACTTTGCTAGGACAGTATTGGTTTGAGGGAATTCTGTGGGCTAGTTCATTATGAGAGAAAATAAACAGAAAATTAAACTAATATACACCATGCTGTACAGAAAATGAGTGACAGAAACAAGCTTAGCATAGGATGTGTCTCAGCATACTTCAACTCATTTTGAGGAAAAAAGTTTAAACGGATATAAATTAAAATGCAGGTGGATCAGTGAGGACAGATGTAGCGTGAAACGGTTTTGTTTGATGTTTCTTTAAAAAGTGAGTGTCTCGACCTTAAACAAGTGGATTATTTTCTCACTATGTGTTATGTCCCATTTCCAGGTACACAGGTGAAAAGGAAAATTCTGAGCAAATATTCTTTCTGCAGACAGTTCTTTTTTTTTTTTTTTTTTTTTTGCATCAGACTTCATAACTGGTACCCTCTGCCTGAAGGAATTAAGTTGTAGATAGTAGCATTCTCTGATTTAGGAAATACACCTTTTGCTTATCAAGCTCTTGTATGTTCTAGTATATGAGCTTGTACTTGAAAACTATCTACTCCGTCTGAGGACCTGCTGTTCCCTGTACACGAGAAATCCCTTTTTGTGCTTCATTATTGCCTTCTGACCTGGTCTGTGGAATCAGAAGTTGTGGTAATGTGGATGCTACGCTTGGGACCAGTCTGTTAATGGAAAGAGCACACATCTGAGTACTGAAAAGGATGAAGGGATCTGGGAGTAATTTTTTATGTTTACTTGAGCAGTTCTTTTTATAGGTGATTGCCATCAACTGTTTAATAAACCTTTACGTCACGTGTAGTGGTAAGAACTTGAGTGCACTTGAATTACCCTTCTGTGAAGAATTTGACAGTGGAAAAAACTTGAAAGGCCCATTTTAAATGCTGACTCTCCTAAGAACTGTGATTATCCTTCTCGCTCTCAAGCAAATGATTTCTAGCATTCAGCTGACTCCATGCTCCCCACAGATTCCCTGATCCCTGTGTGATTTCTTGTAGCACAGTTTACACCATTTTTCAGGGGCGGGGGGACTCCTTCCCCAGCGAGAGCTAAACTATTCACAGTGAATGTCTTACAGCGTTGATTTCTCTATGCCGCTTCCCAACAGCTC